AATTGTAAGTAGGAAGCTGACCTTAGCTTGACTGAGGAAGAAAGAGAAACACTTTTGTCAGAACAGTCATGATTTTTAAAATGTACTGTTCTGAAATAATTTCCTTGGGAATGTGTTAAAGCCTTTGACTGGTGGGATTAACCTGGAACTAGTTCAAACCATGTCTATTGAGCTTGGGGTTTATTGAAAAGATTGCCTATGAAATGAAAATCCTGTGGCTGTTGGATCCTTATTGAGAGAGACTTGGTCCATTTTGTGCTCCTATAGTAGAATACCAAAGGCTGGGGAATTTATGGTGAACGTAAATTTACTGGCTTAGAGGCTAGGGTTGAGTGGCAGGCATCTAGCAAGAATATTCTGCTATGTAATTCTATGGCTGAAGGGCAAGAGGGGGTCAGGCACCAATCCCACTCATAAGTGGGGGAGACCTCATGGCCTAATCACCTCTTTAAGGTCTCCTCTCATTAACATTATGATAATTAAATTTTAACAAGAGTCTTGAAAGGGACATTCAAATCTTAGCTCTTAGCCACAGAAACTTGTACAATCATAATACTATTATAGTCTTCGGAATGATTTTTCTCCTTTCCACACCATAAAAATCACTGTGGTTGGTATCTGTTAGAATGGACCATCATCAGATTTATTTTCTGCTCTAAAATGGAAACATGAGAGTTCTCTTATCCAAGCAGATTAAAACCACTTGGAAGTTTGACAAACCTTAGACGGTTTTAACTACCAATGGTAAACCCTTTATATATAGTAATCAGGGTCATTCATGAGAGATTGCAAAGGTGGACATTTCCCTAGTAGGAGAAAGGGTGCTTTAGAAACCAAAGGGAAGAAAAGAGTGTTTAATATTTTCAATAGTGGAGGGAAAAAATAGAGCTCCTTTATACAACTGAATACATTTCAGGTGAAATGAAATGAAATTAGATATTGTTTGAGGAAAATATCAGATGATTATAAAGATAAATCCATTAAGAATATCTAAAAAGAGAACTTAGTGTTTAACTATCAGGGTAAGAAGCTTGACATCATTTCATTATTAGAAGATCTAAGATGGGAATCATTGTGGTGCCTTAGCAATGGAATGGAATATTTTGAATGTATTTGACAAATCTTTGGGGTTAAGATCCAAGTTCACTACTCTCTGGGCTATAGTTCTCTCATCTGCAAAAGTAGCTTGGGGACTGGGGGTTAGTATGGAATAGAAAGGCTAGGATACAGTCCGCCTCTAAAATTGGAATAATTTAGAAGATAGAGAAGCTAGTGGAATTCTTCGGCTAATTTCTGATGCTTGTTGCAAGAGCTGCTGTGAACATTTTACACATAGGCTCAAAGAAAAGTGAGATGCATGGAGAAAAAATGGCTTCTGCTTAGAAAGTCTGAGACTTACCCAAAGAACATCTTTAGCATGCATTGAATTTTCATGTTGATGATTTGTTCTTTGCTTTTCCAATGTCTAGTTGTCTAAAGGTTTCCCAGATCCCTGACACAGGACATAACCTGGCCCATCCTTGTTCTCCTCCCTAATAGTCCCTTACTCTTCTGTCATAGGATTACTTTCCTTCACTGTATGCAGTAGGATTACTCTTAGCTTCTGGCCTTGGTCTACCCTGTGACTCCCCTCATGCATCTCCAACCTTTCATAATTCCATTGATCCATTGAAGTTCATGCTTCGCCTTTGTAAGAAATGTAGCCCCTGTTGATCTTTATTCTTGTGCTATGATTTAGCACTCAATTTGATATTACCTTGTTGGTTTTATTTCCCCCCCCCCGTTACTTCCCCCAAGTGGTTATAGCTTCTGGAAGACAGGGTCCTTATTTAACACATCTTACATCTGTGTAGTTTATAGCAGAAATATTTGTCTATTTTGATGCTCTTTTGGATCATCAGCCTCAGAATTCTGAAAGTTCAAATGGCATTTTGAAACATCAGTTTATGAAACTATCAGTCCCTGGTATAAAATATAATGATCAATTCAAATTATAATACATCGTAATGAAGTTTTCTGTTTATCACTTTATGATAAAAAGATTGCCAGTTTTTGTCAGATACTTCAGTCAATGTACTACCGTCTTTCATGTTTGTATGTAGTGAGAGACCAGCTTATTCTATGGTTGTCATCGTGGAGAAAGAAGAGGTTGTAGCCGATATGGTCAAATATGATCTGATGCTCAGGGGACTCCATTTCTTTTTTATCCCACAAGAAGATTCTGTCATTTTTTTTTTTTCTCCTAACATTGAACTAGTACAAGGATAGGAATTGTGATGTGATGTGTGGAGTTTCTTTATCCTATATTGTTTTATTTTAAAAAGTAGTTTGTGCATTTCCTATCATATTACTGGTTATAAGTCAGTCTCAGCTGATCTATGGTGCACTACAAATAATCCTTGAAATTTCCATAAATTAACAAAATTAACTGATTTTTCTTTCATTCCACAGTTGGGAGATTAGGGACTTAGGGATCCAATGCTGACCTGGCATTATATTTCAGAAAAGTGTTTGCCTACTCTACTCCCATTAAAGGATTATATAATCAGCTCTTTTATTGAATGAAACAACAAACAGCATGAGTACTCTGATTTGTGCATGCAGATGAGGTATTCTTATTCCTTCCAGGACACTGTTTTCATTTGGAGTATTCTTTAGTTGTTAACTAATTGCAAAAGAGGCTAAGAGCCTGGAATAATTAATAGTATCTTCTGGAACCTAGCACACAGCTTGTAATCCTAAAAGAGAACTTGCATTCTGGAAACATGTTAAGACTTGCAATAACTGGTATTCTCTTCCAACTCTAGAACAGCACCTAGAGTAATGTTTTAAGGGGATGAACTCAAAACTTTCTTTACCTTTGCCTTCATTTCTAGTATTTTTCCATTATTTTATGGGTATAAACTATTTCTCATCTATTCCTGCCTTAGCCCATATTTTCGGTGAATGCTTTGGAGCAAAGACTTGGAATTGATCTTTTGTAATTCAACTTTAAAAATGGAAATTAGAGGATGTTTTCCAAACTCTAGAATTTGCCTTTGCCCTCTGGCTTCATTTATTTATTTTATGAGCAGAATACTTTTATTTAAGTAGAGAGGTCATCAAATGTGTAAACTGTAAAGATTTAAAAGAGAAATGTATTAAAGTGACTGAAGTTAGTCACAGAATTAAAACAAATTCGATTTAGTGGCATTTTAAAAGTATTATTCAAATCACGCTATATAGAGTCTTTTCTTTTAAATGTCAGATTTTGAGATAGTGAAGTACAGGGGCACTACGATAAGCTATAAATTGTGAACAAAGGAGAAAATAATTCTATTTTTTTTCATGGTTTAAATAGAATATTGCTGATCAATTTTTCATTTGGATGGTCCTTAGCAAGTAGTTGTTTTTCTAGAGGAGAGAGCTGGGCTTGCAAAACTGTGTAAATCAGGCAATCTACATTCACATCTTGATGATCTGCAAATCACTTATTCATTTGCTAGAGTAAAGCAGACTCATGAAATCAATAATTTTGCTATTCATTTATGCTGTATACTTGTTTTTTGCCTTTGGAAAAGTCCATAAAGCAGAGTTTTAACATTTCATTAAGCTTAAAAAAAAAAAAAAACTTCTAGCAAATGTCTTCAGTTTCCCTTACCTTCCATTTCTTATATAAAGACTACTCAAGGCCAATCTTCTCTATCCCTATGAGGTCAGTGTGTCCTTATATTAATGTTAATGATGGGGGCTTTCTGCAAATCATTGTGAAACAGGCATGCTGTGTCTATAGCAGAGATGGGCTTAATGGTGATATTTGTGAATTAAAGGCTGGCACTTCCTATGTAAAATAAAATGTTAGCTTATTGCTTTGAAAACACACACACACGGAATTGAATTCATCCAAGCAATTCCCATATCAAAAAAAAAAAAAATGGAGTTTCCATGATAAATTTAAGGTCATGGCATAAATACAGGAATATTTAGCCTAACTTCAGATTATCAGGTGCTCCAAGCTCCAAACACTTTCCTCTTAAATGCACTACCCCCCTGCCTTTTGTGATTCAGAGATCAAAGAACATGATCACTGAGAAGGTTCTGCCACTTTAGTATTAACTATGGAAACATGCTTTCCAGGGATTTTTGTGGTGGCATACTTTGCCCTATACCTAAAAGGTTTGTTCTTGGGTAATGAATTACTTGCAACTATGTTATTATGACATGCTTGAATATTTTCATTTTATGAAGAGTTACTGTCAATATTCTTCCTAAAAACTGAAGCTCTGCTTTCTTCCATCTGCTATCCTTTTTTTTTTTTTTTTTTTTTTTGAGAAGAAGCCATAAACTTTGGGGTTGTAATATGGAACAGAAAATGAGTATGATGCTGATTCTGAACTTTCAGCATCCATCTGAGTTTGTGAAGAATTGAAGACTATCAATTTTAGTTCAGTTGCCTAGTTTGTACCTGAAAATTTGGGTTTATTCCACATGTGGCCAATATAAAAGTTAAAATTTAGCCTAAATTAAAATATTTAGCCCTGTTGTGCCTGTCTTCAAATTAGAGTTAATATCTATAGATTTTTGAGAAGGACAAATGTTGGTCTTACCTTCATTTTCCCAGTAAATAATTTATTTGGCATTTTTATTATGACCTTGTTTCGGTTACAGATCACATTTTACAGAAAAGTCTAGTGTATGGGACATATTGAAAATGCAAAATGCATAGAACAGGAAACGATGGAGTAACTTTCTTCAAGATGCTTAATGTTCTAAGGGCTGGTTGGTGTGCAAATCCGGCAGTCTCACCACCTAGAAACTTCTCATACTTCTTACCAGTACACAATTGTTAAATTGTTTATAGTTTCCATGGCTTCTGTTGTATTTTTCCTGGGGAATAATTTTTTAAATAACAGACTAAGTAGTCACTTAGTCTGATTTAAATAAATCAAACCAGAAATATCCTGACAGTGCACTGAACAAGACCTGTGTGGATAATCTGAGTTCTTTCTTTTTAATTTTAGAATCAACCTTGTCCTATGTTAGGCAGCTGGAGGCAAGAGTAAGACAGCTGGAGGAAGAAAATCGCATGCTGCCCCAGGTGGGTGACTTCCAGAGCTCATAGCTAGTCAGTGTCTTTGGAGTTGTAGCTTTTTATTTAAAATGTAAAGTCTCAATTACATGTTCTCCTTTAAATGATAGAAGTCATTTTGTAAATAACCATTCATGTGGAGTGTGACTATGTTCCATGAGGGCCATCGTATTATCCACATTTGTAAGTGGTATGCTCAAGGATATGGATGTTTGAAAATAAAGTGAAATAATTTTAAAAGGAAGAGAAAATAGAGAAATAGAAAATAAAGTCCCTTTGTTAGTATTACTCTTATGCATATGCATGTACTCAGTGAATATAGGGAAAGGACTCATTTAAATTAAAAAAAATTGCTAGTTTATAAGTGGGATAAACCTGCAGGTAGTCTTAATTTTAATCAAATTAGTACTTTCTAAGATTATTTGTGCTTTAAGTGATCTTTTTTAGTGCAACAAAGCAATGACAGTAATTGACAGTTTTTACTTTGGAACTTCATTTCTTCCTGGTGAATGTAAAGTGGAACTTTTTCTGGGATCTTTAATGTCTTGTCATATATTTCACTTACAACATTGTTTCTGTGTGCTATCAGAAAATATTTTGTTGAGCTGAACTAATCTACTGATGTTAGGTTAATTTCCATGACAGATAAGAAGATAGAATTGTATTCTATTATATGAAATGGTTTTTCTCTAAGCAATTAGTCACTAACATTGTTTCTGCATTTTGGTGGTTATTTTATAAGTGATGAATGGAAAATGATACCTCAAATATAAGTAATAGTTTAAATATGAAGTCAAAGATTGTATCCCAAAAGGGATTTAAATATTAATGCAAAGACTCTTTGGAAAGACATTTTAGGGGTTTTTAATCTGTTTATAAAATATTTTTGCTCATTAATGGTGACTTGGGCTATCATGTACTGCATGGAAGAATGCCTTTCCCTCTCTTCCATTGGCCAGCTAACTGCCTAGAAATCATGAGATTAATGAACCTACTTCTCCCCCTTCTCACTACATGTGGACACAGAATGTGTGATGACAGAAGGGATTATTTGTGTCATGCAATATTACTGGTAGAGGTTTTTCTTCTCTCCTTTCCTTTTTACATTTTTTCTTTGTCTTTTATATTGGGCTAAGAGTGTGGTTTTACTAGGACCCTTGACTGAAAATACTTAATTTTTTTTTTTTAATAAATGGTCACACCATCTCTTAGACAACTGAGAATGTAAAAGATGAGAATAGAAAAAAAATCATATAATATTTCTCTTTGAGTGGGAGTTGAGTATCACATAACACTGAAGTGGTAGCCTGAAAGCCATCTTACTAAAAAAACAAGCACAACAAATGTAAAAAAAATATTAGAAGATTGATTTTTTAAAAAAACCATAAAAGCGAGTATTAGAATTCTTGAAGGAAAATCAGAGTCCTCAGCTCTACTTAATGTGTGTATGTATTTAAGTATATAGTACTTGCATAGTTAAGACTAGGAGAGATTAACTTCTCAGGGTAGTTTTCAATGATCCGCTTTTTCATGCATTTTGCTATTAAGGAAGGTTACTTTTAGTTTTTTTTTCCCCCCTCTGAGAAATGGCTAGGAAAGATTGTTTTATTGAACCTGAAACTTTGTTGATGTGGGATACACCATCCTTATGTATTATTATTACAAAAAGAAAAAGATATCATTAAACCATGTCAGATTCTTGCTGATTTCAGAGATGTTAACAATGAGAAAACAATGTTTCAGATTTTTTAACGGCTACCTGTCAAAGTACTTTAATGCAAAGAAAATCCATTGTTTGAAATGTTATTGGACATATGCAAATAACAAAGGATCTCTCAGTTCAAAAAAAAATTTGTATTGTAGATTGTTGTTTTCATTTACAGCTAAAATATGAGAGAAACACGGGTTCGACTACTTCCATAGGTAGAAACTGACATGAGCACAGCTAGTGAGACTAGGATGCAACACCATAAATGGATCTTAGAGCAGTGAGAACTGTGTGAAGGGAGTCCTTATGGAAGGCTGACTTGGGCCGGGGAGCATTAAGGCATATGCACCTTATTGTTGGATGTTATTGGTACTATTGCAAATAAGGTCTGATGAGATTTCCCTGTAGGAACTACTTCTGACTGCATTCTAGCTGATTTGCAAGGTCAATTCAATTCGACATGCTGACATTCCTGCATAAATTAGCCTCAATATTTGAACACTTGATTTTCAATTATAAGAGCTTCCACTGTGCCTTGATTAAAGGTATTCCTTTTAACCCCCAAGTTTATAAAAATACGTCCATTTGTCTTTGCCAGTTGCATCCTTATTCCTATTTACCCAATCAGAATCCCAAGTATATCAGATATCTTTGGCTATGTCAGGTCCGTTGATAGTTTAGAGTTTAGGCTAATTATTTAAAGTATCTAAAGCATTGCCCTGGAAGAAGAAACATTTTAATGCTTATTTTACTCATTGTGTAAAACTGTGTATAGTGAATAGAAAGTCAAAATTTTATTTTTAAATATATATATTGCTAGAGTAAACAAGATGAGTATAGTGCTTGTGACTTCTTTTTGGTCAGGGGCAAAGACCTGGAGCACAGAGCTCCAGGCACCACCATGGGGACTACTATTGTGTCCTATGAGGTTCATTAAGCTGTACTGTACTTTATATTCAATTTGTGGACACCACATTTCAACAGTATCCTAAAGTGAAAAGTTTTATTTTTAGAAAATGCAGTATTATTATTTGGAAAAAAAAAAATGGAAGATTTCCTGAACTTAGGGTATTCTTCTTTAAGCATGTAAACTAATGTGAACATCATTTTAAGATCACATTTAAAAATATTTCAGAGGATTGCATAAAATCTCTTTATACACATAATGCTAAAACTGTTCAGACTAGTCAGTTCCACATGATGCAAATTTGATATAAACCCCAAATGAAGACTCTCTTAAGTAGATAGAAATACTTCATAGAAAGCAGTTATAACTTCTGAATCCAATGAAGTAGGGTCATCCACAAAAACATAAGTAGCATTTATTAATAACAGACCTACTGTGGGGGTAAAGTTTGTAGTTTTAAACATTTTTTTGGTAAAAACAAAATAAATACAACCATTTTGTGTATACATTTACCTATAAACACAAACTAGCTTTGGATATAGTAATAATTTTCAGATTTGAGAAGAACCTTAAATATTACATAGGATAACTCCTTTTTTGAGTCAAGGCATATCATACTTGGAGGTCAAGGGTATCATTGTGAACAGCTAATTAAGGAAGGTCTCAGGCCAAGGCAGCAGACTGACTCCATGGTTTTTCTAGTATATGCACAGTACCCTTTCTGATCATTTCATAGCATTAAGATAGATTCAGTAGTTTAATTATACTAAACTATTTCCATCTTATTTTCAAATTTACTTTTTCCCAATATTGATCTTAAAGACTAACATTGGGCCTGTTTAGTCATCAAAGGTTTGTCAGGCATTTTTCTATTCCTGTCTTAAGGGAAATGTTCTATTTTTCTTAAAAAAAAAAAATCTATTACAAATGAAAACAAAACTGCATTTTACAGGGTTGTATTCTCCCTGAAACATTTCCCAGATACTCCAGAGTCAAAGTTTTATTATACACTCATATATAAATCTGCATGGAAATTTCATGCAGAAGAAGATGTGGTCAGAGGCCTATCTGTCTAGAGTGAGCTGGAGGCGAGTAGGGAACAGACAGTGGAGCTTTTAAAATTGAAACTTGAAAATTTAAATGATTGTTTAGCCCAAATTCAAAACTCTGCTTAGGTTTCTCTGCTCGTTCCATGGTCCTTTTTTTTTTTTTTTTTTAAAACAATCATCGATTTATTCATCCTGATGTAGTAATATATTTATATTCTGCATTTGCAAGGAAGAAATCTATTCAACTAGAAAGTCTTTAAATGGATGGTGTACACTATTTACCCGATGTCTTTATTATAAAAAAAAAGGGCTTCCCTTCAAAGATAGCAGTGACTTTTCAGATATAACCCTGAGACATTGTTTTTTAACCATTCTTACCTACTCTATATTGACTTTGGATTTGGCATCATGAAGATGGTTCAAGACATGAACCAAGCAGTTTGCTGCAACTGCAAAGTCAATTAAGTACATTTGTTAAAAGTCCTAGTGGGAAATCTGTTCCCTTTGATCAAATGCCCTGGCATCAACATCTGCTTGGCAAGTACTATGTGTGCTCTGTGCCTCAGAGACCCTTCCTGACACCAACCACCTCTTTGGAACATTTGAGAGCCAGTTTCTTGAAGCTGCCTGGTGTTGTAACCCTGCCTGAGTGCTGGGGTTCAGCAGACCTGTTTGAAAGGCAGGGAACTGGGATCTCCACGGAGTCAGCCCCTTTCAGCAAGTGTCGCTATTTCTGTTGTGCTAGCACATACAGAAGAATCTAATTTTAGGAATGGAAATGAAAAATCTCCTCCTCATATGATTTGGTTGCAGCATGGCCTCACAATGCAGTCTTTCAGTGCCTTGGGAGGGAGGCAAGGCTGTTTCCAGAGCAGTTTCTGAACAAAGGAAAGAACCTGTCACCCATTGCCAGAAGCGCTGAGAGTGGTACACAAGAGCTAAGGAAATTCAGCTTCTCACTTCCATGGCAACACAGTCTCGGTCCAGCATGCCGGGCAGTGAAGGCAGGTTCTTCTCTGACACACAGTCTCCTTATGTGCTTTCCCTTTCCACAGAGGAGATATCTACTGTTTTTTTTTTTTTTTCCTCTTTTTCGTTTTCACATTTTCTTACTTTATTACCACAAAAAATATTGGCAAAATATAAAGCCATAAATGATTCTTTCAGGGTTGGAATGGCTCTGGAAGGGAAACATCAGTAACTGTTGCTCAAAAGAGAGTAATGTTTTTGGGATGCTGAAATCAAGTGGTGGTATTCTTCAACTGTTATTTGTGTGGAAATTACCATTCTGGCATACTGAGGAGTAACTTGTGCAGAATTATTTTTTCTCATGAATAGCAACCCT